CTAATTTTTCCAATGGCTGAGACGATACCCGAGGCATCGACACTGAAGTTGTATCTTAGTAATCTGGGTGTCTCCACCGGTCCCGAGTGCCTATCAAACCAGATTTTGCTCACGAGTCCCCCGGAACTTTGGCCTCAATCTGCTCTTCGATCATTCCGAGGTATTTTACGCCTTGAAATGTTCCTTCAATCTTCTATGTACGGTTGATACCGTTCTTTGTTGAGCCTTGATCCCCGGTCCTTGTCCCTTGGGGGTTTGGCTGCAAATCTGTTAGGATGAACTGAGCCCGAAGGGGCTCCCAACTGGTCGTCCTCGACCCTAATTTTTGATTGATAACGATTGTGCACATCCGACCATGTCATAGCTGGATATTCGATCAAGTTCTGCTTTAGGTGTCGAGATGCAATCGAGCTTCTTTCATTCAAACCTTGCACAAAGGCCTTAACTGCCTAGACATCGGAGACCGGTGGTAATTTCATTCTTTCCATCTGAATCGGGGAGACAAACTCCCTTAGCATCTCGTCATCCCTTTGTTTTATTTTGAAGACGTTCGATTTTCTTGTGGCCACCTTTATTGCCCCGGCGTGTGCTTTCATGAAGGCGTCCACCAACATAGGAAATGAATCAATAGAGTTAGGAGCTAAGTTGTGATACCAGATCATAGCTCCTTTTGATAGTGTTTCCCCAAACTTTTTCAATAATACTGACTCGATTTCATCGTCATGCAAGTCATTTTCTTTGATTCCACAAGTGTATGAAGTAATATGTTCGTTAGGGTCAGTTGTTTCGTTATATTTCGGTATATCGGGCATGCGAAACTTCTTTGGAATGGGCATTGGAGCCGCACTTGGGGGGAAAGGTTTTTGTATGGATATTTTCGAGTCCAGTCCCTTCAAAAATCGGAGGTGTTCCTAGTATTTGGTCAACCCCTTGAATTGTATGTCTCAACTTTTTAGTCATTTTCTTTAATTTTCTCTTCTCTGGACTCGATTCTTTTGGTTAGTTCTTCGAGCATTTTCATAATAGCGGGGTCAGTCCCCGAGCCATTTTCATCGGGCCTTTCTAGCGTTGGTTCAGCACGCTGAGTGTTCACTAGTTCAACTGTGTTTGGAGTTCTATTCTGACTCTGAAGTTGAGCGATGGTGACTTGCTGAGCTTGCAGCATCTCGAATATCACTTGGAGGCTGTCTCCCCCTTCTTCCATTCCTGGCGTTCCTTGGTCCCCTGGCCGAGCCTCCCTGTGTGCATTCCTTATGGAGTCTGTGCTCGCGTCCGTGTTTAGAGCGTTATGCAAACTGATATCAACTGGCTCCATATTTGGCACTGGTACACCGACCCTTATACTGCTGTTTTCTCCGAGTTCCTCACTGTCGTGAGCTGGTGCCTTTTGTGTGCTAGACATATCTTAGCCTGAAATCAAAGAATCTTCGGCAAGAAAAAGTGTGAATAATAACTTGTGTTATCAGAAAAATAGCACCAAAATAATCACTATTATCTTTAGTCCCACGGTGGGCACCAAACTGTTTACCTCGAAAAATATGAATAACAAAAATATGATTTGTGGTTTTAAAGATATGTGATTTATTTCAATACTAGTGAATATACGAATAATATTAAGTTTAAGTAAGAAGAATTGATGAACCAAACCAGTGTTGTTAGAGCAATAAGGACCTCGAGCTCGATTATCTCAGGGGCCTCGAGGTGAGCTAAGAACAATAAAGTATGAACAATAAAGCTGAAGAACAATTGTTGAGCACGTTAAACAAGAAAAGCAAAGTAGAATGTTCTATTGCAGAGAATGAGATATCCTTTACAAATATTGGGGTCCCTTTATATAGAAGGGGAAAACTCTAATATGGTACATTTCCAATTATGGTAAAGAATTCTATTGGTACAACTGTATAACAACCTAGTACGGACTTGTCCTCTTTCGTGCAAATCTTATCCTATAATTTATGTCCTGACCCACTTGTCCTTGAGAAATTCCGGCTCTTTCTTGAGTACCATTGAAATTGTACTCCCCTCGAGGCAGATCATGACGCGTTCCCGATTTGCTTCTCGAGGTGCGCTCATCCGGGCCTGGCTTGACTCTTACTTTGAGCTCCCAGAACTCGGACTCGGAGTGTAATCCATCCTTAGAAATCGAGCTCTTCGATTTCTACCATATAAAGAGGAGACTCATCTGAATTTAGAAAATATTTAGGAGTAATGGGAGTGGCAGCAGGCTTAGAAGATAGAAGATTTGCACGATTAAAGAGATCTTTCATATATTTAGATTGAGAAAGAAAATAATCATTATTCTGGGGAGTGACTGAGATACCAAGGAAAAAGTTAATTAACCCAAATCATTCATTAAAAATTCAGATTTAAGAGTCTTGATCAAAGAGTTGAGCAAAGTAGTAGATGATGCAGTAAGGAGAATATCATCTACATAGAGAAGAAGAATAGCAATCTCAGAATGACAAGTATATATAAAAAGTGAGCAATCAGACATGCTATTCCGAAAACCATTACGAAGAAGGAATGAAGTAACCATGCCCTTGGGGCTTGTTTTAGCCATAAAGAGCTTTGTTCAACCGACAAATATGATGTTTAAATTGTGGATGAACAAAGCCAGTAGGCTGATTAATGTATACCAGTTCATCAAGTTTTCCATGTAAGAAGGCATTTTTAACGTCTAATTGATGGACATGCCAACTCTTAGATGCAGCAAGAGCTAAAATAATGCGAATGGTGACTGGTTTAACCACTGGACTAAACCCTTGATCATAGTCAAGTCCATATTGTTGATTATAACCTTAAGTAACAAGACGAGCTTTATAACGCTCAAGTGACCCATTCGATTTTTGTTTAACTCGAAAAACCCAGCGACAACCAATAATATTGACATTGGATGGTGGAGGCCCTAAATCCCAAGTGTGATTGGCCATGAGAGCATTAGACTCGTCAGCCATCACACGTCTCCAATGAGGACATTTATTAGCTTCTGTAAAAGAAGATGGTTCAGATGGAAGAGAAGAGATATGGGTGATTAAGGATGGGAGTATCCGTGGTTTAAGAGAACCAGTTTGCTAGCGAGTAACCATATGATGAATCTTAATAGTTGGAGTAGAGGTGATAAGTTGAGTTGAAGTACTAGGAGAATGTTGCGGGCTTGGAGATGCATGTTGTTGGATAGGAGAAGGTAGTAAATTTTCAGAAATTCTAGGTGTAGTATGGATAGGAGGAATCGATGAAGTTGGTAGAAGAGCTGGAATTTGGTAAAATTAGGATTGTATGGTTGGTTGGCTAAGGATAAAGATATTGTAGATGCACTAGTTTGAGTTTGACTTGTAGAAGGGAGATGTTGGTCACTAGGAAATTGAGTAAAAGATTGAGAAGAATCTTCAACGGGGTGTGGTTAGGGGTCATAGGATTTGATTTGAGATTAGAAGATAAGGATAAGGAAGAATATGATTGAGAAATATTAGGCACTAATATGGAATGCCGTGTAGAAACAGGAAACTTTTTAGGCAAATAACGATCAATTTTGTTAGGATATTTGAAGAAAGATACGGAATATGAATTAGAAAGTTTTGAAGTTAGATATGGAAAAAGAAAATAATCTTTATCATATCGTACATGCCATGAAATAAAAACTTTATTACTTGAAGGATCAAAATATCGAAAACCTTTGTAATTAGATGGATAATCAAGAAAAACACAATGTTTGGAACGAGGACTTACTTTATTTTGACAATAGTCACCTAAATTAGGATAACAAGAACAACCAAAAATACGTAAATGATCTTACGTAGGTTACTTACCAAATAGAAGTTCAAATAGAGTTTTATAATTACCTATAGAAGAAGGTAGAATATTGAGGAGATGAACAGTAGTGTGGAGTGCTTCCACCCAAAATTGAGAGGGAAGGGATGCTTAAAAAAGAAGATAGCGTATCATATTAAGAATAGTGCGATGCATACGCTCGGTCCTGCCATTTTGTTGGTGCATATGTGGTCATTAAGAAAAGAACAAAAATCACCAAGTTTAACATATTCTGCAGCCCCATCACATTGTATTATTTTAATTTTAGAAGAAAATTGAGTAAGAACATAGGCATAAAATTGCCTGAACATTGTGAAAGCTTCACTTTTGCGTTTAATAGGAAAAACCCAAGATAACTTAGTGAAATCATCATGAAAGAGTATGTAATAATGAAAACCAGTAAATGAGGGGATAAGAGAAGCCCAAATATCGCTATGTATCAATTCAAATGGAAAAGAAGTAAAAGAACTTGAATTCATGAAAGGTAATTTATGGTGCTTGCCAAGTTGACAAGCATTACATGAGGAATTTAAACACTTCAATGAAGAAGTACAAGGTAATTTATTTTCTCGAACTAAACTTACTAAAATTAAAGTCCTTGGATGTCCTAAACGGCGATGCCAAAGAATTGGAGAAGCACGAATTGCAGCAAAAGCAGTAGAAGCAGTACCATCACCAAAGGAAGACGATAGAGTGTAGAGAGGTCCAGTACTATTGCACCTGAGAAGAGTTTTCTTCGTCTTGAAGTCCTTAATAGAAAAACCAAAATCATCAACTTCAATAGAACACTTACTGTCCTTGACAAATTTTTGAACACTAAGTAGATTAGTGGATAGATTTGGAACAATTAAGACATCTTTTAGAGAAAAAATTGAAAAGGGAGTAGAAATATTACCATGATCCGTGTATGAGATTGGAAGTTAAGCGCCATTACCTATGATTACACGATCATTACCATTATACAGAGAAACTGAGGATAGATTGGTAGCATTGGGTGTCATAAGTGACGAAGCACCGGTATCAACAAACTAATGACCATCATTATTTGATGAAGAATGTGATGTTGTTGCATGAGTAGGTTGAGTGTTTGAAAAAAGTGATTTTTGGTTAAGAGAAGGACACTCACGGGCTGTGTGATTTGGTTGGAAACAAAGTTGACATTGAATGGAAGAGTAACCACGGAATGACGAAAATTATTGCGGTGGTGGGCCTAAAATAGAGGAAGCACGAGGTCGAGGGTTGAATTGATGAGGCATGGCAACAAAAGGCATTGAGTATCCATGATTATGACGGCCTCTACCTCGTCCGCCATTAGAGTTACGACCTCCATTATAATTTTTACCACGACCTCGACCATGAGAAGTAGAAAATTGTTGTTTTGCAACAAAGGCTGTGGTTGATTGATCTGAAGGAGGAGTAGAGATACTTGCCAATTGAGACTCGTGAAGAAAAAGAAGAGAACGAGTTTCAACAAAAGAAGGAAGAGGGACACGAGTGGAGATAGAGGTACTAATGGAAATATATTCAGCAGGCAGGCCAGAGAGGATTTGAAGGACTAGATCTGTCTCAGAAATGGGATTGCCAATAGAGGTTAAAGCATCTGCAATAGATTTGAGGTGATGAACATATTTATTAATGGAGAGATCGCCTTTTTTAAGGTTATGAAACTGAACTTTAAGTTGGAGAGTACGAGAGGAAACTTGATCACGAAATAAACGTTCTATTTGAAGCCAAGCTTCAGGAGAGGTTAGAGTATGATTGGGTTTGATAATAGCTTGAAGAATCTCTTGTGAAATAGTAGTTAGCTTGAATCCATGAAAGAACAATAGAGTCGAGTTGAATCCATTGTTGAAAGGCTGGGTTTATAGTGGAGATGCCATTATCATTAAGAACAGTAGGTGAAGGACAAGGATAACTCCCATCGATAAAACCGTAAACTCCATGACCTTTGAATACGGTAAAAAGAGTTCTCTCCATAGCATGTAGTTGGTGTAATCAAGAACAGTGGGAACAAGATTCTTTTATGTTAGAAAGATATAGTGCAGATTGGGATGAAACTGGAAGAGAGGAAGAGGCGGCCATAACACTAGAGGTTGAAGAACTAGATTGAGATGAAGATGATGACATGAAGCTGGAAAAGAGGAGAACTGATAATAGGTGAATTTGACTATAATCACACCTTAAATAATCACCTTCTTGTGTAGTTTTAATGCTATAAGTGATAACAAAATGCTCTTATTAGTGCTTTTCATGATTTGCAGGTGATATATGTATAAGGAAGGCTAAGGAGCAGTTTTGGAGTTAAAAGTGATGAAAAAGAGGCCAACTGTGAAATTTCCCAAGTGAACCATGCAAAACAGGCCGAACATTCAGAACACTGGGTCCACCGCGGTTCCACCGCGACCGCGGCAAAACCGCGGTGGAAAGCAGCTGCAGAAACTCAGTGATTCCGCGAGGGTGTTTGGCCGCGGCTCCACCACGATCGCGGCAAAACCGCGGCAGGCGTAGAAACTTCAGGGACCAAAGTGTCAATTGCGGGATTTTTAGACCTAAACCCTATTTAAAACATTAGACTTCGCCCAAGAGAGGCATGTATTGATTTTTAAGGTTTCTTAGCAAGAAAAACCATTATGAGAGAGTACTCTAAACATCTTTCTTCTTTTCTTTTGATTTTTATGATGAATTCAATCTTAGTTTATTTTCCCATAGCCATGAGTAGCTAAATTCCTTGTCTAAGGTTTTGATGGAACCTATTGGGTGATGAACTTCTTGTTTATGTGAATACAAATTGCTAGTTTAATCTCTATTTGTTCAACTTCGTGTTCGTTGTAGTTAATTGACAGGATCCTCAATTAGCTGTGCCTATTTAGTGTGCATAACTTGGAAAAGAGTGCATATTTAGGGTAATGTTGAACAACACCACTCCTAGATTATTAGAGGAATCTATAATTGCGGGTTTAAAGGCGGGGATTAGGGATAACGAAGCCTTGGGTGTAATCTAAAGTGAATCGTGCTAAATAAAGTAAGCTAGTGTATCTCGGGAGAGTGCAATAGTAAATTACTGTGATTACTCGGGAGAGATTTGCGGTAAGATTAGCGTTCATAATTGATAGAAATGTGTGGGTAAATTTGTATGAGCATAAACAGAAGGGATTCCATCAATAGGGGAAATCATTGCCTTAGCTTTTCCTCATAATTATTTACAACCTCATTAGTTTAGTTCACAACTATTTAGTTACTTGCAAGCTAGTCGTTAAAGAACACTCAACTGAAATTTGAATATTTGGGAAGCTGGTTCTGAAGAATTAGTGGGTCTGAAGATAGTAGTTGATAGGTTAACTCTCCGTGGATTCGACCCTGGGCGTAATACTCGGGTTATATTTGCAACGTCCGCTTAGTCCTTTTTATAAGGCATAGTTGGGCGTGATCAAATTTTAGCGCCATTGCCCGGGACAGAAATACAAAGATTCTTATTGTAGTCAGTTTTCTCTCTACCAACTTTTGCATTGAAAATTTGACGGTTGTTGATCTGGGTGCACAGGTGTATGCCTAGAAATTCTACGAGGACTGGACAACTACTTGAAGGACTTTCAGACCCCGAGAAAACATTCCGGGTATTGAATCGTGCTAACAAAAGACTTCAACAACACCAACAAACACACAAATTCGAAATTGACATGGGTGACATAAACGACCCCAACGTAAACGTCAGGAATGAGCAATTGGCACCTCCCGTGCCTGAGGGTGCACTATATGACTGGGCACAACCCACAGCTGACAATCTGGCCACTGCCATTGTTGTGCCCGCAATACAAGCTGAATCGTTCCAGATCACAAATAACATGCTACACTTGTTGCAGAACAAGGGACTCTTTTCTGGGACACAAACAGAAGATCCTCAGCAGCACTTGAAGAACTTCCTGTCTATATGCAAAACTCAAAGGCAACCCAACGTGACTCCGGAAGCAATTAAGCTATTATTGTTTCCATTCTCGGTGACAGGAGCTACTCAGGTTTGGCTAAACTCGCTCCCCATAAACTCTATAGAAACTTGCGCTGAGTTGGTCAAGCAATTTCACAACAAGTTCCATCCGCCCAACAAAACTGCTCAACAAATTGATGAGATTGTGAGTTTCAAACAGAAACCAATGGAGACACTACACGAGACATGGGGCAGGTTTAAAGGAATGTTGGTTATGTGTCCCCACCATGGTGTTCCAGAACAGATGTTGGGACAACGGTTTTACATGGGACTGTCAGACAGCATGAAGAATATCGTTGATGCCTCTGCTGGTGGGGCATTCTTGAGCAAGACTTGGAGAGAAGGTCAAAATTTGCTTGACAAGATGGCACAGAATTCAGGTTGGACAACTAGGAACGCACCTATCACTCCAGTGGTGCACTCAGTGCCTCTTGATCCTTCTAATCAATGGCTGAAAATATGGCGACTCTCTTGACACAAAATGAGCATCCTCACCCGAAAAAAGGTGGAGGGNNNTCTTTCTATATATGGTTCCTTGTTGTTGAATTTTATGTGTGTGGAACTTCTCTCAAATTTTGTTTATGTGAGGGCATGTGACTCAGGAAGAAAAAGTGAGTTTTCACTTCTGTTGGAGTAATTAGAGTGAGCACAAGTGTGTCTTGGCATGAGAGTCTGCATTTGAGATATGATTGTGCACCGCTTAGGTCGATCTTTGATAATAGCAGGTGTGACATAAATTGGGGCAATGCATTGAGCAGTTAGGCCTAGAAGTGTGGTTTAGTTTGCTCGAGGACGAGCAAAGGTTTAAGTGTGGGGTGTTGATAATAGGTGAATTTGACTATAATCACACCTTAAATAATCACCTTCTTGTGTAGTTTTAATGCTATAAGTGATAACAAAATGCTCTTATTAGTGCTTTTCATGATTTGCAGGTGATATATGTATAAGGAAGGCTAAGGAGTAGTTTTGGAGTTAAAAGTGATGAAAAAGAGGCCAACTGTGAAATTTCCCAAGTGAACCATGCAAAATAGGCCGAAGATTCAGAACACTGGGTCCACCGCGGTTCCACCGCGACCGCGGCAAAACCGCGGTGGAAAGCAGCTGCAGAAACTCAGTGATTCCGCAAGGGTGTTTGGCCGCGGTTCCACCGCGACCGCGGTAGGCGCAGAAACTTCAGGGACCAAAGTGTCAATTACGGAATTTTTAGACCTAAACCCTATTTAAAACATTAGACTTCGCCCAAGAGAGGCATGTATTGATTTTTAAGGTTTCTTAGCAAGAAAAACCATTGTGAGAGAGTACTCTAAACATCTTTCTTCTTTTCTTTTGATTTTTATGATGAATTCAATCTTAGTTTATTTTCCCATAGCCATGAGTAGCTAAATTCCTTGTCTAAGGTTTTGATGGAACCTATTGGGTGATGAACTTCTTGTTTATGTGAATACAAATTGCTAGTTTAATCTCTATTTGTTCAACTTCGTGTTCGTTGTAGTTAATTGACAGGATCCTCAATTAGCTGTGCCTATTTAGTGTGCATAACTTGGAAAAGAGTGCATATTTAGGGTAATGTTGAACAACACCACTCCTAGATTATTAGAGGAATCTATAATTGCGGGTTTAAAGGCGGGATTAGGGATAACGAAGCCTTGGGTATAATCTAAAGTGAATCGTGCTAAATAAAGTAAGCTAGTGTATCTCGGGAGAGTGCAATAGTAAATTACCGTGATTACTCGGGAGAGATTTGCGGTAAGATTAGCGTTCATAGTTGATAGAGATGTGTGGGTAAATTTGTATGAGCATAAACAGAAGGGATTCCATCAATAGGGGAAATCATTGCCTTAGCTTTTCCTCATAATTGTTTACAACCTCATTAGTTTAGTTTACAACTATTTAGTTACTTGCAAGCTAGTCTTAAAGAACACTCAACTGAGATTTGAATATTTGGGAAGCTGGTTCTGAAGAATTAATGGGTCTGAAGATAGTAGTTGATAGGTTAACTCTCTGTGGATTCGACCCTGGGCGTAATACTCGGGTTATATTTGCAACGTCCGCTTAGTCCTTTTTATAAGGCATAGTTGGGCGTGATCAAGAACGTATAGAAAGAACCTAAGCAATCTGATACCATGTAACAAACTGAGATTCTTCTTAATCATATACAAGTTTACATGAGATATATATATAGATTATACATTGGTATGTAAAAACTATTCTATCCTTACAAGAGATTAGTACAAATTAATATACTTATCAAAATGCACCACAGTATAGGGTTTAGGTAAGTCGCTTCGCAAAATAGCAACATATAGACATTAAATTTTGGTGGCGGTTGTAAAGGTCGCCATAGAAGTACGAATGCCACATAACATCATCACTAAAAACCTTGTTGTCTGTAGTGATTGGAGCTAGCAACATGTCTTTTCTTAGTCAAAATCATTTCTTCAGTAATAAAGGTGTAAATTCTTAAAGGGAAAAGGATTGACCCATTTTTTAAGTAATAATAATACGACACATGCTGAAATTTTCAATCATATCTCTTCGCAACTTTTCTTTTCAAATTATCAAGAATGTACTGCTTTTTCCCAAAATTTGACGGGAAAAAAACTACAGTTGTATAAATCATTCTCATTTCGCGGTACGTAATTTTTGAGGATTTTTTAAACCTGTCACTTCTCCTTTTCATTGATTTAAAATCAATAAGTACACATATCTTTTGGTTTAAATAATTAATTTCCTTTCTTTTCTCATGTCCCACCCAATTGAAACGTGATGACAGATAAGAAAATTATGCAAATTGCAAACGAACACCTTTGCAAAGTGACGAGCAGAACCACCTTTGCATGGCATATATTACAAGATATTTTTCCCTTCTACTTAACAAATTATTGCTCGTTAGTTTAAAATTAGATTATCTCAAGATTATAATTCAGGATAATAACAACGATAGATAATTCACTTTCTATATGAGATAGATAATTCTATGATTTTAGAATAAACT